TGGGTCGCGTTTTGGGTAACAGAAACAAAGCGTTCGGTTGCAAACTTGCATGGAATTTGTGCATCATGGGTGTCAACAAGCCAACAACGCAAATACCAATATTTGTATTTTGCACCTTAGCATGTGGCGCAGGTACAGAACCGTTGAACACACAATCATGCATGTCTTGTTTGACTGAGGACTCATTTATCACGGTTGCAGTTTCCGGGTGAGTGCTATGGCTTCTTCCATGAATTTTCACCTTTTCGTCAATCCACAGACAAACGGGGCTACGACACAATCAGAGTTACAGCAAAGCCATCGACCTCATATTATCATATATCTAGACATCGCTAAGTCTTAAATGCGGTCATCGACGTTCGCAGGAATATCAGCTTAGTCTAGAGCATTGAGCAGGTCAGGGGGCCGATATCATCAAGGGTATTGACCTGTCAGGGACCCGAACCACGAACCGCTACGTTGCTTTTGAATTACACCGACTACAGAGACCAATTCACTAGGTGGATTATTCGCTGTTTAACGTCAGCATACAATCAGCTGACGAATATTTGTGTTAATGTGTCACTACTGGTATGTGGGTACATTCAACATCCAGGAGCTGGCCGAGCCACAACTGGCTCCGCTCACTACCATACTCCTTGTGAGCATACTTCAAATGTAATAGTGGTGGGAGGTGGTGACATAAAAATTGTGTGCCCGTGAATAAATCGACCGGCGCTCGAGATAGCATCACAAAAGGGCACTCCAGTGCGATTTTTTCTTTAATCAGTTTCTGGGGACACGGCATGTCCCCATAAACTAAGATGTCCCCACATCCCAGATTTATTACATTTGTATGTGCCCATACGCCAAGTACTTAAAAAACAACACACACACACACAGTTGTGAACCGAAATATCGGAGTCGGCGGGAAGCGCGGCCACCGTCCCAGAGGCTTATTCCACGGTCCGTGGAGCGTTAACCAGTCTGAGTGTCGGCGGCACTAATGAACGGAACAGCTGCAGGCGTTTGGCAAATAATGTTACGATGAGTGGTCCGACGACGTCCGTTAAGGCGGCACAGACCGCTCTCGAGACATGTCCCACACTGTGCGTCCGCTTACCTCACCCTCAGCAATATACTAACTGAAGTCATCACGCACCAGTTCCAAGGTGCCCGACACGCCTTCCGTGGCATGCGCCACTCCCGTGTCTTTATCACACCGCTTACCGTTCCTTTCGCTAGATCCCACAACCCCAAGATGGCTTCGACCCGACACCCCGCCCCAGCAAAGCGCACGCATCGCATCAGGCTGGGCCAGTGCACCAGCTGCGTGCATTAGGTGTCTGGTGTTAGGCGCATGCACCCATCCCGCCAGCCGGCCCTCCGCGCCAATTCATTACACCGAATCAACGCGCAGAGCGCTTAAATATTCATAACGGCCGGTGGAGCGGGTCGAATTAGGCTGCACAGCGCGTCGGCTTGCTTGCTGCTCGTCTGGCGGCGAGGCCGCCAGTTACTGAGATTCGGGAGCGGGCGAGAAAGCGGGCGATTAGTACGAGTCGGCTGCAGCTAGTGCCGCTGGGGGAGGATCGCTGAAGCGGGGATCTGTGTTAAAGTGAGCGCAGCAAGGGCGGCGACGCATGCCCAACGATAGAAAGTGGTGTGCAGATGGATATGGTTAGGGCGGCGGTACATATGCGGATGCAAAGGATTGACACTGCTATGGCTACGGTAGGGTGGGTTGAGGAGATTTGGTGACGGAGGTGTTAGCACCAGTGTGGTTCGGGTTGGTGGTACTATGGAAGAGTCGGAGGCAGAGGATAACAGCCAGTCCGGTGTGGTCAGCCGCTGCCTGAAGGAATTGATGGAAAGGTCAGCGACCTTGGTGTCCATGAAAGACCATCGGCGACAGCACACTGGCGGTGACCTCCGTGTTGATCATAGCATCGGTGGCAAACGTGATGAAAAGCATGCCAGGAAACAACGGCGGAGAGCTACACTAAGATCAGGGTGGCAGGCAGACACCGTATTGATGGCAGAGTCGCACAAAAGGCCGTTGGCAGGTGGCTCGCGATTCACTGGCAGCCAAGTAAATATACAGATATTTTTTGCACTCCCGATGTGAGTGATAGCATATGCGGACACCACTAGTGACCAGGGAACACAGCAACAACGGTTAAGGATGTGTATATGATGTGCAACTGACATGCATCATATAAGGATTGGATTGGTTAGCCCGGCGTGTAGCCCACAACAGCGCATCAGGTGAGGCAGACCAGCGCAGCTGTCAGTATCGCCACCCCGTTCCAGGAAATATTGCCCAGGATACGGAAACGTTAACATTGTGAACGTAGCTTGACAATATGAAACGAAAACAAGACGCACAAAAGAACAAATCAAAGCGAATACAGAACATAAACAAATGGAAACAGACCAAGCTAAACACTCACCACTCAAACAACCATAAAAGCAGGCTAGATTCGTACCGGCGGTAGATGGCGGAAAGAGAGACGAGTCCAGTGCAGCACACCAGGCGGAGGGTCACCGTTCAAACAAAGCCGCTGCAAATACGGCATTTCCGCACCCGGGGACAAAAACCCAGCCGGGGCGAGCCGATGAATAATACATGGGCCAGAAGCGACGGTGGCGGCAGCCAGGCACCAGACACGCTGAAACCCAACCCGCACTAAGTATCTCTTCGCGGAAGCCATTAGTCGCCTGGCACCTGCCTAATTTGATTGACGCCACCGCGACTCGGACCAAAAAGGTTGGCCAACTTTGCGCCGTAATGGTGTCACGCTCTCGCCGGGACAATGTACGTGCCATTCATACCGAGCCGAGCGCGGCCGTCTTCGCCCGGCGAGCGTCAGCTGGACACCGTGGGTCTCCGGGCTCGGGGAGGGCCGCGCCGAGTCCAGGGCACGGGCGAGAGCGCCGGGCGGACCGTGCCACCGGTCACCAGCCGGGCAGACGGCCGGTGTCGCCGGCGTCACACAAGTCCAGGGCACGGGCGAGAGTGCCGGGCGGACCGTGCCACCGGCCACCAGCCGGGCAGACGGCCGCTGTCGCCGGCGTCACACAAGTCCAGGGCACGGGCGAGAGCGCCGGGCGGACCGTGCCACCGGCCACCAGCCGGGCAGACGGCCGCTGTCGCCGGCGTCACACAAGTCCAGGGCACGGGCGAGAGCGCCGGGCGGACCGTGCCACCGGCCACCAGCCGGGCAGACGGCAGCTGTCGCCGGCGTCACACAAGCGCCGAGGCGGCCACAAGGTCGGGGGCACCTGCCTTGCCAGCAACGACGCCAATGACGGGGCAGTGACAGCTCTGAGAGCAACGGGGCCGCGGAGGCTGCTGCGGTGAGGGACAAGCCCAGGGTCCCAGCGTGGGTCCTTGGGGCGTCACAGGCACCCACAGGCACTAGATTCGTCCCCGAGCCAAGCAATGGCACGTGTCCGTAGCTGATGTCCATGCCTAAGGTATCCGTGACATGCCTGCGGACCGGCCTCACCCCTCCTACGCAGTGGCAGTGACCTATCGCCATCGGGGGCGCGTCGTGCATTGTAATGCCCTAAGCGCTAGTGGTCGCCCATTAGACACGGTCGATACCTACTCGATGAGCACGGCTGATTAAATCTAGCGCGGCTGTCTTGGCAACAATGTGAATATGGCTGCCAATGAGCTTCGACAATCCGGCAGAATTTCAGCGCCTCAGAACTTCCACTTCAAAGACTCTAATGAATTCGAACAACGTCGCCTGTGCGTGCCCACACTGATCTGCGTCATGCCCACAGGAACTAGAGCGTCGTCGTTTGGGGGAACGGCGTCGTCTGGGTCGTCTGTGTCTCGGCTATGGTGCCAGCTGGAGAACTGCGGCGCACGGGAGGCGAAAAGTTACTCGGCAAGCCACCAGCCCACGACTGAGCGCGCCCCGAGCGCGTGGAAGCAGTCCCATGCGCCCCGCCTGACGGTGTAGGCGGCAGCGGCCGCGGCCCAGCCATCAGTGTCGTCCTGCTCGTGTCGTCTCGTCCCCAGACGAGCCGGGAGGGCGCCGGTCTGCAGCGCTAGGTGGGGAGCCGTCAACATGTCATGCTCCCCATCTCCATCAACATGCTCCCCAGAGGTGGGGAGCCGTCCCTGGAGTGGCGCACGTGCTCACCACAGCAGCCAGTTGGATAACGCCACGTGACTCTCTCAAGAGCGCAAAGTGCCGTGCACCCGTCTCGATGCGATGGCTCACAAATGGCCAACTGAGTCCCCAAGAGTCTAGCAAAGCGAGACTAAGAGAGAGAAGTATCTAGGAGAAACGAGTCAGCGAGCGGCCAGCTGATGAGCGCACTGGACTACATGCGCAAAATCTCCATCAACATGCAGGCGATATGAACGTGCCCGAACTCGCCTACCAACACGTTGCAAATATTGTATTACTGTTTGCACATGGACCAGCAATCCATTAGGGAAAATCAGGGAATCGGAATCACCGTAAAGAAACGGCCACGTGACAGCAAAGGCTAATGCCAAAAAGATCCCACATCACCTAACTGATAAGCAAATACACTCCCGGAAGCCTGAACAACAAAACTGAACTGAGCTTGAACAGCAAAACGTCAATGTTCGTCTGGCAGCGGACACAGCGTTGAACTGCCTTCTCCCCACCAATGATATGCGGATCTGAGAACATGCAAGAGTTCCCGACAGGCAGGTAAGCCAATACATCCGGCCTGGTCTTGTTACAATACGGCCCGGCTGCTCCAGTGAGCAAAGCCGACTGTCCACCGGTGCGCCTCCGTGACGTTCTGGATGGGCTCCTCACTTCGACGTCACGGGATAAAGCATGATCGTTAAGTGTCCCACATATCGCTGGCCCGTCTGTTATTCGATCGCAGTCGCTGTTCGGAGCTGCTGCCGCCGCCGCCGCCGCCGGGCAGCGCCTGGCCGCCCACCGCGGAGGGCTAGGGGCGCGCCAAGCGGGCGCAGCGCGCCGGTTATGGGCGCGCGCCTCGCCGGTCCGGCCGCTCACCTTCTCATACGTGTCGTTGTAGTAGACGACGTAGTTGATGATGCTCTCGCTGGAGTGCACGGGCCGCTCCCAGCTGAGGACAGCCGTCGTGGCGTCCTTCTCCACGACGTCCAGGCCGTTTGGCTGGCTGGGCACTGCGGCGGTGAGCGCGTCCGGTCAGCCGCGCCGCACACGCCGCCCACGCCCGGCCCCGCGGCCGACACAGCGGCGAGCACTGCGCCCGGTGGCCGCCATGGTCATCGACACAGCGGACCAGCCCGTCCACGGCGGCCCACTCGGAAGCAGCGTCAGCCCCACAGGCGCGTGGGATGCCAGACAACTCACGACTGCCCAGCGCCTGAGGTCGCACCGGCCGACGTCCGCCCTCTCTGTCTGGCAGCGGGACACAGGTTTGCTAGGTGACGGGGTGGCGTGTCAGCGCTCCGCCCGGCCGGTGTCACGGCTCCAGGGGCGGCAGACGCCAGCCATTACACCCGTACATACGCCATTGTCGCGGCCGTAACCAGCGATAAGGGCCCAAGTCGGCGCCGATCTCCGCTTTACGAGGGCGACCGCTGTTTATAATCGCGTATGGGGGGCGGGGGGAGGGCAGTGGCGGGAGACGGTGCGGCCGGTCGCCGGCATCGATCGGGCCGGCGACCGGCCGCTGCGGCGCCCCTGTCGCCAGGATCAGGGGATTACTGGCCAGCGCGGATGCCCCGCCGCCGCCGCCGCCGGCGGACCCAGGTGTGGCAGCCGCCGGCAGTCGGACCAGCCTTCGCAGCCAGTGGAGGCCCAGAGTTAAACTTAATTAGCATTGCCAAATGAGACTATTAAGTGACGAAGAGGTTTCTGTCAACTTTAATTGACACAGTTCCGTAGAATCCAAGAGGTACTGAATCTAATTTTTAATGTTATTAAATATGGGTCCTTCTGGAGCACTGGTTCCGTTCAGAAAGCCGGCCGAGGTTAAGGTTTCGTTAGCTAGCTGAATGACATCAGCGAGTCTAAAAAATCGACGCCAAAGATCCAGACTTTGAATTACCCTGCGGGACTATCCGACACATTTTGACAATCGTAAAAGCATGTAGAACTGCAGAAGGTTCAGGGCAGACGGGCATCACCGTAACTTGACATATGCACGTTTTCCATGGGTCCAATATTTTTCGCTGTGCCTTCTTCTCCCGTCGATACAACGCACAGCCTGACACAATGCCGACAACACGCACCACATATCTGAGCTTCAGTCGTGATTGGGGATCCGTTGCCACACACGGAGCACCGGCCAGGGGTCCACAGCACCCGGCTAGCCCTGTCCTGCCCTCGTGAATGGGGATCTGTTGCCACACAAGGAGCACCGGCCACGAGTCCACAGCACCCGGCCAGCCCTGTCCTGCACGCACGCAGGCCGGCACGACAGGTTGGACCGACAGCGGGGGAGGAAGAGGGCCCACAGACGGCTTTGGAGCCGACAGCGGTCGGTGCGTCACTCACCGCCCTGTTGCGTCTTGGCGCGCACCGGCACCGAAATGGGCCCGGGCCCGGCCAGCGTCTCGGCCTGCACGCGAAACGTGTAGATCTCGTGCGGGACCAGGCCAGAGATGGTGGTGAGAGTGCCGCCGCCGGCGTTCACCACCTCCGATTCCCACTGCTTTAGCGGCAAGCCCGGCGTCATCGTGAAGTAGACCTTGTAGTTGGTGATCTGCAGAGCAGTTGGCAGCGTCACCCCACCGCACGCTTGATGAGGCCGGCGACCACAGATACCGCTATCTCAAATTCGGCCGACACATCACGACAGCGCTGACACGGGCAACAGCGCTCGCCGCTCACTCGCTGGCAACGGCAGCTTGCAGGCGGAGAGGGGCAAAGCCAGGGAAAGCCTAAGCCTCACCAGAGCACGGGACCCGCCCGTCTACACGAGGCCTCGGTGTCTAGGAGAGCTGAGAGGCACCGGGGATGGGGACAGCGTACAGCACCCAGCACCCGGAACGGCACACAGTAGCCAGCTCACCCGGCATCCTGTGGCTAGCCAGTGGCCAGTCCGTGGCCAGCCTGTGGCCGGCTCGTGGCCAGCCGGTGGCGCCTGCGCGGCCGCGGCCGCCGCCCTCTCACCTGGCCGTTGGGCTGGTCGGGGCCGTCCCACATGACAACCAGCGTGCTGGAGCTCAGTGGCCGCACGTGCACGTTCTTGGGCGCCGATCCGGGCTCTACAACAGGCGGACAGACGCACCCGTGACACACTCAGCCTCCGCGGATGACGACGACCCAGCGGCGGATCGCACGCATCACAGCTGACGGCAGCTCGCTGAGCCAGACTGCCGGTGAGACTCCTAGTCTGCCGCGCACGAGAGCACAGTCATCGGCCGGCGCCGGCCTGGCGCCGTCAGTCGCGCCAAGGCCGGTCGGCGGGCCCGTCTTGACCGCCGCCAGGTACGCCCGTCACGCCGGCCGGTCGGCGCCGCTGCCATTTCAAGCGCACCGTCCGGAAACCGGATAGCAGCGGCGCACGCGTGTCCTTTCAGGCGGAAGCGTGTCCGGACTGCTGTCCGCTGGCCGCCTCACGGAACGGCGGCTCCGATTATCGGCCGAGCAGCTGGCCACGGCACCGAGAGCTGCAGCCGACCACGGCACCGAGAGCTGCAGCTGGCCATGGCACCGAGAGCTGCAGCCGACCACGGCACCGAGAGCTGCAGCCGACCACGGCACCGAGAGCTGCAGCCGACCACGGCACCGAGAGCTGCAGCTGGCCACGGCACCGAGAGCTGCAGCCGACCACGGCACCGAGAGCTGCAGCTGGCCACGGCGCAGGCTCGAACTGCACATGCCTCAAGAAGGTTCGAAGCTGCGGTATCATATTGCTCATCGCCCAAACGCCCGCCGTTAAAACAGCACAGCGGGCTCAGTTTCACCAACGCAACACGTCCGCTTCGTGATGCGCCCAGGGGAAAGCGCTATCACAAGGCACCGTTCGCTAACGAGTCACGGCAGCAACGGAAGCCCCCCCCCCCAAAAAAAAGTGCGCCATCTAGAATCACGGCTATGCTGCTACAGTTATGCGATAATGTTGCACGCTTCTAGCACAGACAAACGCCGGCAACTACGCTCATTCGTCCGTTTCAAATTCATGCAGTCGACAGATGCCAGGAAAGCAGCATGAAGAAAAGCAGCGGCAGACAAACAATACGGCTGTGAGGAGCGCAGTAACACAATGCGGACATTACACGCAATCGCAACTGAAACGATCCTATGAAATGTAGACAACGCATTTCAGTGACCGGCACAACCGGCACATTTCACAACCGGCACTTAATAATTTGTCGGCAGCGCCGAGCGGACACAGGCGGAGCAAAGAAAACAGCGACAGAAGACCAGAGAAAACACCAATCAACTTACGGGAACCTCTGGAGGCTATCGGTGTGACGGGGGAGAGAAGACAATAGCATTAGAGACTGATCGGCGGCCGGCACCGATAAAAGCCAGACGCGCTTGCGTGGCGCGCATGAATAACACATCAGGTGGCGAGGCGGCGGCGGGTCACAGGTACACTGCTCTCTCTCTCTCTCTCCCTCTCCCTCTCCCTCGCCCTCGCCCTCGCCCTCGCCCTCGCCCTCGCCCTCGCCCTCGCCCTCGCCCTCGCCCTCGCCCTCGCTCTCGCTCTCGCTCTCGCTCTCGCTCTCGCTCTCGCTCTCGCTCTCGCTCTCGCTCTCGCTCTCGCTCTCGCTCTCGCTCTCGCTCTCGCTCTCGCTCTCGCTCTCGCTCTCGCTCTCGCTCTCGCTCTCGCTCTCTCTCTCTCTCTCTCTCTCTCTCTCTCTCTCTCTCTCTCTCTCTCTCGGGGGACAGTGGGGAGGGGACACACTCCCGGTCGTACCGCCGCCCACCAGCCGACCGGAAATAAGGTGGCGCGCCGCGGCTCGCGCTGACGGTGGCCGCCCGCTGACGCCGCGCGCCAGTGGCCGTAATCGGCCCCCGACTAATCCCCCTCTGGCGGCCGGCTGAGTCGGCGGTGCCGTCCCCAGCCGGACGCGCTCCGGCCGCCCAGCCGCTATCCAGACGCGACGTCTCGCCGGTCGTACACATGCGTCCACAAACAACCCGACACATTACAGCGTTTTCAAAGACCGCTGAGCCTCTGTCACAACACCCAACACTCTGAAACCTAAGGCTCCGAGTCATGATTCCGGGAAGCTGGTTAATGGGCGCCCTACCGAGGCGACAGCGGTCCAACCTGTCCATAATGAGGTCACGGAAACGGGTCCAGCACGGCACCGCCGGCACCGACTGACACGCGTTTCCGGGCAGTCCGTCGACTCAATGGCCGCTCCAACAGGTGTGTGGGCCAGCCCAGGTGCACCCCTCCCCCCCCCCCCCCCTCCCTTCCAACACTGACGGACGGGAGGCACGTGCATAGTTAGCTATTCCTGACTCGAACGTCGTAAACCAGGCGGCCGTCGTCGGTGTGGAGACTCTACCCGCCCACCGGCATGAGCGGTCCGGGGGCGCGGTCCGGCCAGTCATCCCACACGCGCCATCAGAGCTCCACGTCCCACCTCCCTCCCTCCCTCCCTCCCTCCCTCCGGCAGGTCGCAGGGCCCGGCGGACGTTCCCAGCAGCGCAGCGCCGGCCGGCGCCGACCGTCCACCGCTGGGGGCTGACGGCGAGCATCCGCCGTACTCGGCGGGCGGCCCGAGGCTCACCTGTCGGGCCCGTGGTGACCTGGACGGGCGCGCTGGGCCGGCCGCGACCGATGTTGTTGACAGCGATCACGCGGAACTCGTACTCGGTGAACGGCGCCAGGTTGGGCACCGCGTAGTAGAGCGATATCACGCCGCTGATCTCCTCCTGCGGCGGCGGCACAGGCGCCGTGAGCGGAGGCAGCGCGCGGCCGCCACTCACCGGGGCCATGTCGCCAGGGCACCGTATGGGCGCACACACTCTGAACGTCACCACCGACGCCGTGTGGAGCGAACACAAATATTGCGGTTACCAAGCTGTAAACTGTCAGTCGCGTCAAAGGAGTCAAACCCACTCATGTCAGTGCTCGGAAATTTTCCAAACGCCATTTGACGAATAGCTGCGAGCAGATGCTGTCACTTCATCAATTGTTTACGATGGGGAACGCACCACTGCGACAAGCACCTTGTATCTTAGTGCCAAGCAATGTGCGGAGAAAATAAAACGTTTTTGTTGTATGGTAAATACAGGTTTAATGCGCTGGATGACGTCACTAACCGGTGGTTCACGAACGCCAATCGCGATACCTGAACCCGTTGGTACGAACAACACGATGGCCGCCCGCAGACCGACTGGCCGTGCGGCACAGCCCGGCCTCAGGCCCCGCCCCGTCCGCGAGCCGGCCTCACCTGCTGCCGACTGGACGAGCATCACAGTCGCTCCGCCCCGTCCGCGCGCCGGCCTCACCTGCTGCACGCCGTACTTCTGGCTGTACTGGATGACGTAGTACTGGATGGTCTCCTGGTCGAGGTCGTACGACCACGAGAGGCGGACCGACTCTGAGGTGACGTCCGACACGCGTAGGTTTGTCGGCGGCCGGGGCAGCGCTGGGGGCCACAGTCAGGCGACATTACCGACACTGGCCGCAGCGGGGCAGTCTGGTCCGCGCTCACACACCGCTTCGGCGTAGCGCCCGCCGCCGGCCAGCGCGGCACGGCATTCGCAGCCCTCTTACTTCCGCCTGCCTACACAGCACGCCGCCCATCGCACGCCTGCGACAGACCGCGCCCGAGCTTGAGACGATTACTGGGTCTCAGCGAGCGACGGTCTCTCTGGTTCGTACCCCACCTCCTGCCAGATCATCGAACGCCAGATGAAGGGTGGTGCGGCGACCCTCTCCTGAATTCCTCGTCGCGGTCCAGCGACCCCTCAGCGCCTTTTGCGGCTCCTGGTGTACCCTTCTCCTGTCTCATGCGATAAGCTCCTTAGCTCCAGTGGCGCCCTTCTCCGGTTCTCCAGTTCCTACGGCACCCCTCTCCCAGTTTCTCCAGCATCCACCCTCCGCCGGCTCCTGCTGTACCCCTCTCTCGGTTCCTGAGGTGCCAATCCCCGGCTCGTGCAGTGCCCATGCTCCTGCAGTGCCCCTCCCCGCTCTTGCCGTACTCCTGCCAGGCTCCTGAGCCCGTCAGCGCGTCGGGCCTGACCCAGCCCTGGGCCAGGTGTCAGCGCCGGCCGTCGGCGAGGTCTTGCCGTGCTGTCTACGGGGCTCTGGGGGCGTATCGGCCGGATTTACGCCCGATGAGTTCACTGACGGCAAGCCGGCGTGCGGCGGCCAGTGAATTCTGGCAGCCCAGCCCGGCAGCGCGCCGCTGCCGGGCTAGGCTGCGTGGCCGCTCAGGTCCAGTGCGGCGGACACGAGGGCGAGCGCGTACAGTGCGGGACTGTTGACCAGCGAAAACAAGGCGACCGAAATCCAGCACAACAGCCGACAACCGGAGCAAACGTCACAGCGTGAATGGCGCGGCCCGTTGCGCGCAGAACATCTCTTACAGACCACATTACAGAAGTGGAGAAGTCTATTTGGGGCTGCGGCACATCCAGTGCGGTAAAACAGTCGCGGCCCGCTTAATATAGCCGCACCGAGGTCGTGAGCACAGTCGGAACTATCCGTAAGGAGCTAAAGCCCCGGGGCGTGAACGGCTGTCCAGATACTCCGACATGCACGCCGTAGCTTGGACAACTGTGCTGCGCGCAACGGTCGGAAAATAAAGGGCAATAAATAACACACCCACCCGCGACAGCTATTGTGGAAAACTGTCGCAGGCCACTGCACAGCTATTTCCCCACCAAGCCACGAACATTAGCGTGTTCGGTTACATACCTCCGCGTGAGAGCAGTACTATAGGTCTCATTCGCAGCTGAATGATGACTAGGTGGAAAATAACGGCGCATTGATACCTTGCATTAATGTCATACACGTATATTGATACTGATGTTACTAAACGACTTTTTAACCATGGCATCGTTTAACGAGAAAGAAGACCCAAAAAATGATTTCATGCATGAGTAGTTGCAGCTGCACTGAGCAACCAAATTTTGTATATATAAGTATATTTCGTTGGCATACGTTCTTGCTGATTTATGCATATTTGCTGAAATTTCGATCACTTACAACGGTCTAGGGTTCCATCTTTGCGACAGGAGTTATATTACTATCAAAAATGGGGTGTTTTACGATCCCTTCCGTCGGCTGTTGCGGTAAAGCCGTTACAAACAGGCAGTCAAGAATGCCTCTGAACATTTGACCATGAGCGAGATGGTCAAACCACTACCCTGCCCAGCCGTTATTCCAACCGGCCACTCCCTGGAAATGTGCCGCATCTGGACAAGAGCCTTGTGCCGCGACCAAATGTGACCCTCGCGTCGCACGGCAGCAGCACCAACAGCGCGCTACTTGAACCGTATCGAGCGGGGCCGGCAGGCGACGGGCGCCGGTGCAGCGACCTCTCTGGCGAGGTCAGAGCGGATCGCGCCACCGGCAGCGGACGTCACGCCCCTCCCCAGCCGGTGCAGAGCCGGCCGGCGCTCGTCTCGGGCGGGCGTGACAGGATGCCGGCAGAACGGCGCCGCGGGCAGCCGGACCGGGGGCCGAGCCGGCGCCGCCGCACCTCCACGTCCGTGCCGACTGAGGCCGCCACACCATCCGCAGCTGGGTCACGCAGTCGCCGCAGCGCGGGCACCGAGCGGCCACGGCGCCAGCCGGCCGTCGGCCGCTGCCGTAACAGCCGGCCGCTCTGTAGCGTCGTCTCTGCGGCCGGAGCGGCGACGTACGACGGCACGCTCCCCGAACCAGCGACGTTCGAGGTCTCGCACCGGGCACGCGGCACTTGCAATCCACCAACGCTGAGGTGAATTATTCATCTCGGGTGCGGACAGTGCAAAGTTAGCTGCCGCCGACGCACCTGGTGCTCGGCCTGCCCACTCGGCGAGCGCTCCAAGGCGACAGTTCGCACCCCGGACTCGAACTGCGCTGCCCTCAGACTACCATAGCAGACAATGTCGAGTCAAAAGAGCCGCGCATCGCAGGGCTACGTCACCAGCGTGGACACGCTGGGCGCCTCCGCGTCCGGTCGCAGCGGTGCTCGAGCCCGCTCTCGGAATCGGACGGGCCCCGCCGGGGACCCGTTTAGCCCGCCTGATGGCACATGCTCGGGCCGCGGCCGGCGCCGGGGCACGTTGTCGGGCTATGTTACGGTCAGCTATTGGCTCAGCCGGCGCTATGACGTCGCAGCACTCTGCATGCCGCGATTACTCTACGGCAGAACGACCGGCCGTCACGCAGCTCGTGTCACGGACACGCTGCGACGCCATGTGCACGCTTGCATGCCAAATATACCCCGTCTACGTGAACCTGGCACCATAGAGCTCAAAATTACTGATGGACGGTGGCCACGGACGGGCACGTACCACCTGTTTGACGACAAAGGTTCAGACTAGTTACCGCCTGCGCCTCTGTCGAGCGCGCTCCAACTAAAAATAAGACGGGCACTATCGGCGCCGACGACATGGAGGGGCTTCAGCTCGCCTGATACCGGCCCATCGGCCAGCGCGCACACGACACGGCCGTGGCACGAGGCGCGCGCGAAGACCATGCCGGCCGGCCGGGCCGAGTTGTGTTTGGGCCGGGTGCGTTAGGCGACCAGGCGTGCGCGCCGTTGCAGGGGCGTGCGGGGGCGTGCGGGGGCGTGCGGAGGCGTACGGGAGGCGGCGGGGCGGCGGTCACAGCGGCGGCGCGTCATCGGCGGACGCCGTGGCAACGTCACTGACATTGGCCGCCGGCGCCGGTCCATGCCCACCACGGGGTGCGTGACGCCGCGACATTTGCACCCGACGCGGGTCGATGACACTGGCAGAGGTCACACCGGCACCAAAACACGCGCCCACCGTCCACCCACGCGGCTGTCCACCCCCAGAGCGGGTGGCGCGCGCTCATCGCTCGGCGGTCGGGTGGCGCCGCCCCCGCGTGCGTCCGCGTGACGCCTCACCAGCACGGCCGTTTGACCGACCGGAGGAGCACGCGGCTAGCGGCGGAGCTCGGCCGTCGCCGGCACTGGGCTGCGGCCCCGGCGGCGCTGGGTGGCGGCTGCCGTACGTTCGACGGTGTCGTAGTACTGCTCAGGCTGCCGCTGCCGCCGCAGCCAGCAGCTGGCGCCCGAGGCGTACCTGGGCGCCGAGGGAAGGGGGAGGGGCGGCGTTCCCCGGCCGGTCTTCAGGGCTTTCGGCCCAGCACCGCCTGTCACCTCGGCACCATTAATACTACATTGGCACAGGCGAGGATCGCATTATCCCGCCGCCATTTGTATTAATTATGGCGACTCTCTAAGCTGATTAATCGGCTAGTTCGTTATCGTTACGTCTGCAGGCACCAGGATGAGCCGAATCTGGCCGTCTCTTGCGCTGCCGATACGTGTCGGATGTGGGAAGCGAGACATCGGCCTCGGGGATGGTGACTCAAATCGTGAGCATGATAACGAAGACAGCCAGGTCGACACCAGACACAGAAAAACAGCCAGGCCGGCACCAGACACAGAATACTGCCGGCCGACCGATCAGCAATCGCCATCTTTTCCGGACACCGAGGCAGCGCCTGGCCAGAGTTTCAATGCCGACGTAGAACAACACGGCTCACATGGTGGCAGTCGTCTGCCAATGCAAAGCAGCTGAAAGTAATCTCCAACTAGGTCTGACACCACGAACAATTATTCCTGGACGCACAACGTGCCGGTAAGCAGCATGAGCAGCGACACGGTCACTTCGTGTGCAACGAAATGAAAATATAGCGCCTACCTAACGAGATCTTCATGCGGGAGCCGACACCAGCGTTCGGCAAGAGCAGGGAGGCACTCTGTGCAGCCGCGTTGCCGAGGCAACTGGCAGGGCCGGCCAATTAGCGGGCGGTACCCGCCGCTAATCAGTCACATGATATCCAGGACGCCGTGTATTGCCATGCCTTCCAGCGCCGTCTCTCCAGGCAGAACATCAGCAACGCAGTGTGCTGGCCACCCAGCACTTACCACGTTTGGCAAGATGGCAGGCAGGCCCCGCTATTATTACATATTTCAGAGGCTTCCCCACGCCGTTAGATCTGCACGTAACGCGCCCACCAGATTCCGTATGGTCTGAGCACGGAATGAGTCATGGCCGCCACCGGCTCCCGTCGTTCCCCGAACAACTTTGCGTCAGCAGCGCGCTTAGCCTTTCATCTCGTTGCATTTGACATTTCGCGCGGCCCGTCCGGCTTCCATGAAAAGAGAAAGAGCGCGGCACGCATCCCCAGAACGACAGCGAGCCTGCCCGACAGCGGCGACCCGCGCCAGTACTCGGTACTCTGTTCCGTGCAGCTCTGTGCCACAGGTCAGGTCAGGTCAAGTCAGGTCACGTCGGACGGGCCCCGGAGAGTAGCCGAGGTGTCAGGTGAGGGGCCGCAGCCGGCCAGCCACGACGCCCTCCACCGACGCTGCCGCTGACAAAAGCGTCGTCAGCGCCGGCGGACGGACGCCGCCGAGTCGCGCCAAACGAAACCGAGCTTGCCGCGCGTCGCCCACCCCTGTCAACAGTGTTAGAATTCAGTGGCCGCCCATTTTTGCCAGGTGAGAAATGGCTGGAGCATTTTAGCGGCGCTGTGCCACAGCGGCACTGCCAACGGGGTGTGACACAGTCGACAAAGACTGAGTGTGACGGACGGCGCGGCCGGGCCCGCGGAGCCGGCCGAAAAGGCGGCACCCTACACTGCCGACTGCCGCTTGTTGGAGCACGCAGCCGACACTATCCCTTTGGACTGTCGCGGGATAGGCGTGCTCTGTCATAGAGGCGAAGCCAAGGCCAGCATTGTGCTGCCCAGGTTGTCGCGACATCGCCGAGCGCTGACCACGCATGAACTGTAGCGACGGAGTGAATGTGCAAGGTGTCGGAAGTGCCGCAACGTACGAGGCACAGCTTCCTTGACGGAATACGGGGCTCGTAACAAGTCACACTCGACGGCGGTCACTTGACATCTCAATTCGAATCCGTCCAAAGGAATTGTCGCAGCTGAACACAGCGCCCGGCTCAGCAGCCCAGGCCAGGTCGTTCAAGTACAAAGGGAAATAAGTCCCGCACAGGCCTAACAATCCGACCGAGCACAACTGACCAGCTTGCCAAAGCACGGCCGAGCCGGCCTGTCCACACGCGGCTGTCCCGTCGCGTGACTGCCCCGATACACAGCGCCGACGAACGCCAATAAAATACGACCGAGGAGCCGGGGCGGCCGAATATAATTATCCGCGATGGATGTCGGAGCAATTTTCCAAACGAAACACGCTGCGGATGGTTTCTGCTGGCCGCCGGCACGCGAAGGCTGCGTCCGACCCGCTGAGCCGGGACGGCGGGCAGACGGCCGTGCTGGCCACGAGACGGCGGGCAGGCGGCCGTGCTGGCCACGGGACGGCGGGCAGGCGGCCGTGCTGGCCACGAGACGGCGGGCAGGCGGCCGTGCTGGCTGCAGGAAGGCTGTGAGCGAGCGCACGCTCTGTCAGGTAGTTCAGCTCAAGGCAGAAGCCAAATGCGCCAGACACTGAAGCCCTGCTCGCAGCCCAGGAGGCGGCGAGTGCTGGCGTCAGCGAGCGAGGCCGGCCCCGTTGAGTAGGCGTGCCGCTATCCGAGCGCGCACCTACGGCATTACCCAGCACCACTCCCAATCTGAGATTGGTTGGGGAAGACGCCCAGACGTCAGCCTGCGCGAGCCGGACGTTGAGATTGGTTGGGGAAGACGCCCAGACGTCAGCCTGCGCGAGCCGGACGTCAGTGCCCAGGACGTGACGGTCCGCCAGCCTGGGCCAGGCGGCACAGACGCGGCAGCCTGCCGCCTGTCAGGGTCCCACTGCTGCCGTATGTCCAGAACTCCGACTGGTCCGTCAGCCAGCCGGCTGGCCGGCCGGCGCCGACCCCGTCGCGTGGCCACTGACAATCAATATACGCTGTCGTACCACCCTCGCCACTTTTTACAGGCCATGGCGTGTTTCCACTCGCGACTCATTTATAATTAGCCCACTTTTGCGAGAGGTGGTGCGCCGCTGATACGCGGCGGCGGCAGCGGATTGGCCGGCGAAGAGCGCGGAGCGGGCCACGGGCCGGGCCCACCCGTCTTCCGCCCGTTAGCGCCGATTAGCGGCCGAGAAGCGGCTGGCCCAGAAGGCCGGCTATGTCGCCTGGCACGGCGTCACAAGAGACCCGCCAAACAACGGAGATTTGCCGATGAGGCGAACTGCTTCCGTGTGCTGTTTGTCCGCTGACAAGCACCCCGTGCATGGCAGTCTTCTGATGAGGCCCACTCTTCGGGACATCTCTGAGCATTCCGAGGGAGGGGCTTACGTCAGCTAACTTGTCTGTAAAAACTGACACAGTCTCCGGGAAAAACAAACCGTGTCTGGAACTCCCGGAACCAGAGCGAGGCGTCTGAATGGTTAGCCATCAATGAGAAGCAAACGAAAGCAACAAAACAGAAATGCAAACGGGATTCAGCCCAGGCATAGAACGGGACTAAGCAGAATAGTGCGGCGACGGATAGGCATCGCGATAGGACGGAACAGCGACAACGTAACTTGAAATAAATATATCATCAATGACATTCCAACCACATATTTTCCCCTGTTCATCCTGGGCGTGACAGATTGGTTACCAATCTAGCCGAGCCCACCCCCTCCCCTTCCGCCACTCAATCCCACTAGTATTGCCTGACGCAGTCTTGACCTCAATGGCCACCTGGTGCAAACACTGGCACTGTCGCTGGCGGTGCGACCTCGCAAAAATACCCTTCCAGCGCCGGGCGTGGGTGGATCGTCCACTGGCTCGGTGACGTCATCGCCGGGCCGGGCGCGGCGCCGCCGGCCGGCCACTGGCGCTCACCTTGCACGTTGACCTGCGTCATGCTGGCCACCGAGCCGAGCTCGCTAGTGGCCACGCACGTGTAGTTGTTGGACTGACGCACGTTGCTGAGCACGAGGAACGAGCGGCCGATCGGGGCCGGCTCCTGCGGCCTCAGCTCGATGCCCGGCTCCTGGTGCGGCGGACATCCCCACGTCAGCGACGGCAGGGCGTAGCGGCCAGCGCCGCGTCGCGCACCCAGTATACAGCGTGATGCATACCAGCGGCCCGCGAACAATGTCCGGCCAACGCAGCTCGTCGTTGGATGCTCCCAGCCAACGCTGCATCAGCGGCGGCCCATCGGGCGAGTTCGATGGTCGCAACCTGTCCCGCCCCGGCCCGCCCGGCCCGCCCCGGCCCGCCCCGCCCGCCCGCCCGCCCGCCCGCCCGCCCGCCCGCCCGCCGGCCGCCCGCGCCCTCCCGCCCGGCCCGCCCGGCCAGCCCCGCCCGCCCGACCTCGCCCGCCCACCGACTCGCCAGCCGCCTCTTGGTGCGTCGGCCAGCCTCCGGGCGATGCTGGTGACCAGAAGCCCGGCCCGCGTCCACACTGCCCGGACCCGTCGGGGGTGGGAGGGGGCGACCGGTCGGTCGGCACTTACCTTACGCCACCGGATGTGGGGCATGGGCGAGCCGACGGCCACGCAGGTGAGGTTCAGGTCCTCGCCGGGCAGCACTTCGTACACCGGGTCCGGCGGGATGGTGAACGACGGCTTCACGCGGCGCACTGGCGGCGAGGAGGCACGGGTTAGAGGAGGACAACGGGCACGACCGAAGGCAGCAGCGCGGACACATCGGTCACAGGAGCACGGCAGGCCAGGCCGGACCGTGTCCGCCGGCCGGAGAGCGGTCACAGGGACACGGCAGGGCAAAGGTAAACGGAAATGAGCGTCGGCAGGGAGAGCCGGCGAATGGCTGGCGACTTATCCATGTGCCCCACAGTCTTGACACCAGCACGACTTGCACATTAGCGACGGTTAGCTGTGTCCGATAAATATTTGTAACCAAGCCATCAGGTGGCAAACTGACGCGTCGCAAAACAAAAACGCGCGCATCACTAGTATGCCTCGACACCGGCTCGTCCACCAGTACGCCTCGACACCAGCTCACCCACCAGTGCGCCTTGACACCAGCTCACCCGCCAGTACGCCTTGACACCAGCTCGCCCACCAGTACGCCTTGACACCAGCTCACCCGCCAGTACGCCTCGACACCAGCTCACCCACCAGTACGCCAGGACACCAGCTCACCCGCCAGTACGCCTCGACACCAGCTCGCCCACCAGTACGCCTTGACACCAGCTCGCCCACCAGTACGCCTTGACACCAGCTCACCCACCAATACGCCTCGACACCAGCTCGCCCACCAGTACGCCTTGACACCAGCTCGCCCACCAGTACGCCTCGACACCAGCTCGCCCACCAGTACGCCTTGACACCAGCTCACCCACCAGTACGCCTCGACACCAGCTCACCCACCAGTGCGCCTCAACACCAGCTCACCCACCAGTACGCCAGGACACCAGCTCACCCACCAGTGCGCCTTGACACCAGCTCAGCACGTGCACTGTGCGAAAGGAAATCCACTTGACACCCGTCACCAGGGCCGCGGCCCACGCCAGGCCACTCGCCGGTCTTCCACCAGTGGATCCGACGACCGAGCCGGCCTTCCATCAGTGGGTCCGATGACCGAGCCGGCCTTCCATCAGTGGGCCCGGTGACCGAGCCGGCCTTCCATCAGGGGACCCGGCGACCGATCCGGCCTTCCATCAGTGGGCCCGGTGACCGAGCCGGCCTTCCATCAGTGGGTCCGGTGACCGAGCCGGCCTTCCATCAGTGGGTGCGGTGACCGAGCCGGCCTTCCATCAGTGGGTCCGGTGACCGAGCCGGCCTTCCATCAGTGGGTGCGGTGACCGAGCCGGCCTTCCATCAGTGGGCCCGGTGACCGAGCCGGCCTTCCATCAGTGGGCCCGGTGGCCCAGCCGGCCTTCCATCAGTGGGTCCGGTGACCGAGCCGGCCTTCCATCAGTGGGTCCGGTGACCGAGCCGGCCTTCCATCAGTGGGTCCGGTGACCGAGCCAGCCTTCCATCAGTGGGTGCGGTGACCGAGCCGGCCTTCCATCAGTGGGTCCGGTGACCGAGCCGGCCTTCCATCAGTGGGTCCGGTGGCCGATCCGGCCTTCCATCAGTGGGCCCGGTGACCGAGCCGGCCTTCCATCAGTGGGTCCGGTGACCGAGCCGGCCTTCCATCAGTGGGTGCGGTGACCGAGCCGGCCTTCCATCAGTGGGTCCGGTGACCGAGCCGGCCTTCCATCAGTGGGTCCGGTGACCGAGCCGGCCTTCCATCAGTGGGTCCGGTGACCGAGCCGGCCTTCCATCAGTGGGTCCGGTGACCGAGCCGGCCTTCCATCAGTGGGTCCGGTGACCGAGCCGGCCTTCCATCAGTGGGTCCGGTGACCGAGCCGGCCTTCCATCAGTGGGTCCGGTGACCGAGCCGGCACTCGGTCGCTGCGGCCGTGACAATACGTCCCGAAAGGTCGGCACTACACCTGGCGGGGCGGCTCACCGAGCCTGGCACGTGCCCGTTAAACTTGCAGCGCATTATCCCGGCCGGCGGCGGCGCGCGGCAAGTTGACGCGCCACCATTGGCCATTCATATTCCAGTGGATCCGGAGTGAGCGGAGGAGTGAGGTACCGGTCACCGGCCTGAGGAGAGCGCGCCGACTCACAGCGCGCCCACACCGTCCGGTTCGGAGACGCGACGCGCCGTCCCACGGTGTGCCCCACACACCGCCCACCCGCACACGGTGCGAAAGGTACCGACATGTGACGGACGAACGCGGGGGAGGGCCACATCAGGGGGGGGGGGGGGCAGGAATATTGCGGAAACCGGCGTGAGGCGTAGAGGTGGTTAAATGGGGTGTAAACGTACGCCTATGGAAAGAAGTTGTTTCGTGAGAGGTGCAAGAGTCGGGATGTCTTGGGCAGCGGCCAGCTTGTGGCACCACCCGACAGTGCCCTGCTAGCGAATGCTGTTTTCCTATGGGCTGAGGTTCGCGCAGCATACCCAAACCGTCGAACAGCCGTGAAAGAAACGCGACGGAAATCCGGCCATGTACCACGAAAACTCCGCCCTCCTCGCCACGGCATGCGCTGGCATTGCTGCAGTGATGGCGCCACATTCCCAATATGTCCTCATAGGACTTTATGAGATGGCCGCGGCCGGCCAGACGACTAAATAGGGCCGATGCAGCGCGGCCAGACAGCACCCCCTCCCCCTACCCCCACCCATCCCCCTCCCTTCCTCAGGTGCCAAGCCACCCGGACGTGCGGGCATGCCCCACACGTCCGGAAAGTACCCCAGGACAAACGACATTCAGGGGACGACCCTAGATAATAAGGACATCCAGAGGACGACCCTAGATAATAAGGACATCCAGAGGACGACCCTAGATAATAAGGAAATCCAGAGGACGACCCTAGATAATAAGGACATCCAGAGGACGACCCTAGATAATAAGAACATCCAGAGGACGACCCTAGATAATAAGGAAATCCAGAGGACCACCCTAGATAATAAGGACATCCAGGGGACGACCCTAGATAATAAGGACATCCAGAGGACGACCCTAGGTAATAAGGACATCCAGAGGACGACCCTAGATAATAAGGACATCCAGAGGACGACCCTAGATAATAAGGATATCCAGAGGACGACCCTGGACAATAAGGACATCCAGAGGACGACCCTAGATAATAAGGGCATCCAGAGGACGACACTAGATAATAAGGACATCCAGAGGACGACCCCAGATAATAAGGACATCCAGAGGACGACCCTAGATAATAAGAACATCCAGAGGACGACCCTAGATAATAAGGAAATCCAGAGACGACCCTAGATAATAAGAACATCCAGAGGACGACCCTAGATAATGAGAACATCCAGAGGACGACCCTAGATAATAAGGAAATCCAGAGGACGACCCTAGATAATAAGGACATCCAGAGGACGACCCTAGATAATAAGGACATCCAGAGGACGACCCTAGATAATAAGGACATCCAGAGGACGACCCTAGATAATAAGGGCATCCAGAGGACGACACTAGATAATAAGGACATCCAGAGGACGACCCTAGATAATAAGGACATCCAGAGGACGACCCTAGATAATAAAGAGAATGTCATCCCGAGACAGGCAGACGTCCCCAGTGGCCTGCCTGCGGGACACGGCCGAAACACAGACGCCCCCAGTGGCCTGCCTGCGGGACACGGCCGAAACACAGACGCCCCCAGTGGCCTGCCTGCGGGACACGGCCGAAATACAGACGTACCTGCGGGACACGGCCCAGAAACGTAGAAACGCACACGGTGGTTCATCAGCGACGCACATCCGTCATACACCCGTGTAAAAGCGACACCCGTGCGTCGCCACACATCTGTGTAAGAGCGACGCCCCTGCGTCGCCACACATCTATGTAAGAGCGACACCCCTGCGTCGCCACACATCCGTGTAAGAGCGACACCCGTGGGTCGCGACACATCTGTGTAAGAGCGACATCCGTGCGTCGCCACACATCTGTGTAAGAGCGACACCCCCTGCGTCGCCACACATCTATGTAGAGCGACCACCCCTGCGTCGCCACACCCTCCCGTGGTAAGAGCGACACCCGTGGGTCGCGACAACCCGTGCGCTGTTGCACATCTCTGTTCACCTCTGATGTAAACGGTGGCGTCCTTCGAGTAGACGGTGCCCTCGTCGTTCTCAGCGGCGCAGCGGTACTTGCCCTCGTCAGACTTCACCGAGTCCTTGATGACCATGTCACCTGGAAGAGGCGGCAAACGTGAGCTGGGCCAATCGCTGCCCTCTGGCGCCGAGCCGGCACAGCCTGCTTGGAGAAGAGGGGGACGGGGTGGCGTGCGGAGCTGCAACAGTACCGCAATACACAACATTCCACAGAAGATAGCGTTATTGTTGTATCGGCGACCGCGCAGGGCTGGACGTGACCCGCATGCCGGTCAGGTCGCTGTTGGGTGGAGTTCGCCTCCGGGCGTTGTGCATCAGCGGGGCATAGCCGCGGGTCAACGATCGCAAACTCGCTAACGCAACATGACTACTTGTCGCAACAGCGAGTCGTGTAAGCTGAGCACTTCGCAACAGACGTTACGTAACTTACAGGTGGTTAAAACGCAGACTGGGCTCGGCTTCCCCGACAGAATGGCGCGACAGATGGCGTAAACAGGGCTCTGTTTTCTAGACAGAATGGCGCCACACATGGCGTAGACAGGGCTTTGTTTTCTAGACAGAATGACGCGGCAAATGACGTAGACTGGGTTCTCTTTTCTGGACGGAATGGCGCGACAGAGTGGCGTAGACAGGGCTCTGGAGGGCTCTGGTTTCTGGACAGAATGGCGCGACAGATGGCGTAGACAGGGCTCTGGAGGGTCCTGGTTTCTGGACAGAGTGGCGCGAAAGAGTGGCGTAGACAGGGCTCTGGAGGGCTCTGGTTTCTGGACAGAATGGCGCGACAGAGTGGCGTAGACAGGGCTCTGGTATCTGGACAGAATGGCGCGACAGATGACGTAGACAGGGCTCTGGTTTCTGGACAGAATGGCGCGACAGATGACGTAGACAGGGCTCTGGTTTCTGGACAGAATGGCCCGACAGATGACGTAGACAGGGCTCTGGTTTCTGGACAGAATGGCGCGACAGATGACGTAGACAGGGCTCTGGTGTCTGGACAGAATGGCGCGACAGATGGCGAGCTGATCACAACGACCAACCATGCTTATATACACCAATGATCCGCACAATATGTCTGGACAACGTGTCCGCGCAATGACTGCCCTCGTGTCCAAGAGCAATACGTAGGACACGTGATACGGTTGCCCCGTGTATGAGTCCAGGACCGACGGCACCAGGACACGTGATACGGTTGCCCCGAGTATGAGTCCAGGACCGGCGGCATCAGGACACGTGATACGGTTGTCCCGTGTATGAGTCCAGGACCGACGGCACCAGGACACGTGATACGGTTGTCCTGTGCATGGGCCCAGGACCAACGGCACCAGGACACGTGATACGGTTGCCCCGTGCATGGGCCCAGGACCGACGGCACCAGGACACGTGATACGGCTGCCCCGTGCATGGGCCCAGGACCGACGGCACCAGGACACGTGATACGGTTGCCCTGTGTATGGGCCCAGGACCGGCGGCATCGCTTGAGCCGACTGACGGGACCAGGTCAGCTGGCAGCTGTTCGCACAGGGTCAACCTCGCCCAGTGTGGCCGTGGCGAAGCATTGTGCGACATGTAAACCCTCAGTCCTGTCTGGCGAAAGTGTCGCAGATTCTTCTCTTTCGGATTAACACACGCGGCACTCCCTGGCTGCTAGGTTAAAGGCAAGCGCAACAAGCTCTGCTTAGTACTTCCCCTGAAAAAAGGAAAAAGCTACAAATACATTCTGAAGCCAGGACTACCCGATTCTATTCGGGGAGCACTATATGATGATGATGATTTGGGGTTTTGGGGCGCATCGACTGCTGTAGGTCATGCAGCGCCCATAACTACCATGTTATGCAGAGCCGCAAATCAGACAAGTGTACCAATCAGATTACCCTATAAAACCTCGATAATCAGGGGTATCATGATGAAAAGATTACTGGGAAATCCACAGCATTAAGAAACTGGAACACATTGCCAAATTCAACAGCATGCGAACAATCCCCTGAGTGACATAGCGTGCGGCTCTGGACGTTGTGTCCGAAAAACTGCGCTCTCGTTGCAGTAAGGTGACGGCAGGCGACGAGTACGTGACGCACGGTCAGCGGGTCAGAGCACTGACTGCAGCATGGTCTGTCGCCAGCCAATAACTGGCGACGGTGCGTAGCATATGTGTGGCCTATGCCTAACCGGCAAAAGCTAACTTCCTCCCTCTTATTGTTGCGAAACCACGACTGCTAGAGTCCAATACGGGGTTTCACTGGCTTCAGGTTGTTGGCGCTCAGCAAGTCCCAGTGAAACTGTCATGTCCTGAGCTGGTAGTGGCGTTATGGGGATGCGCGTCACTGTCGCAGCGCGCTTTGCTGACGCGTCAGCACCATTTCCGCAGATCCCCACGTGACTCGGGATCCAGCACAGTACGTCATGCCGGAATTTAAATATAAATTTCTAGATTTCAGCACGCACGCTGTGAGACCCTGTTTTTGAGACGGGCTCTAATTTGAGACCCTGTTATACAGCACATGTTTTTCTTCTCGCAAAGCATTCCACCTCGGTGACTACCAAAATTTTTGAACCCACCACACCAACATAAAATTTTTGCACGCCGTTGTTCACACAAGACCAGTGCTCAACTTCTCATCCGCATGTAAAAGCACTTTTAAGTAAAGCGGGCACTTTATCGTGAGAGAACCTCGTCAACACCTACTGCCAGGAGTGCTGGGACATCATTTACACATGATCTTACTTGTACTGCAAAAACCTATTCAGACTTCGCTTCTACGCGTGTATACCCATTTGTACATATACAAGGCATTCGATTTACTAAAAAATCGTCTAACTTGCAGCGACATTTATTCTACTGCAAAACTCATGCATGATTATGGCAAAGACTTGTACAGTCTTCACTTATACGCGACATAACTTCCACTTCAAAAGCTCACACACGACACAGGTACTACGCAACAAAACCTACGCTGCAAAAACGTATACCATTCATTACTGATATAGCACAGACCTGACCACAAAGCTTTGCTTCAGTACCAGCGTCTCGTATAAGTCTTTGCGGTAGCAGCAATGTTGTATATAAGCAATTACTGTATACATTTTTGCAGTAGGTCATGACGAGTTATAAGCTTTTGAGGTGTAAGTTTTGTTGTGTAGCATTACTGTCAGGGTGTAAGTCCTGCGGAAGAAGTAATGTCGCGCATAAATAATGACTGCATAAGTGTTTGCAGTACAAGCAATAAAGAGCATAACTTTTTCCAGCAAAGTTTTGTTACTAAGCACTAATGTCGTGTATGAGTATTGACAATAGGAAGTAATGTCGTGTCACTCCAGTCGGTAGTTTATTTTGTGGCACTTTTGTCGTGTAGCCCATACGTCTGCCCAGGTTCGCCAGGGCAGCCCCGCTCCCCGGGCAGGGCGCCCCGGGGACCGCCGGCCCGCTGCTGGGCGGCGGCGCGGCACATAGCGGACAGCTGGCGGGGCTCAGCTCTGACTGGCAGCCGACGCGGACGCGGGCAGGCGGGGCTCAGCTCTGGCCGGCAGCCGACGTGGACGCGGATGCGGGCAGGCGGGGCTCAGCTCCGGCCGGCAGCCGACGCGGACGTGAGCGGGCAGGCGGGG